CCAGCTGCCTTGAGATCATTGACAAGTTCCTCCCGAGTAGTTCTGGGCTGATTCCTCACCGTTCTCATTATCATTGAAACTCCACGAGGTGAGATCTTGCATGGAGCTCCAGACCGAGGGAGATTGGCAGTTAATTTATGTTTCTTCCATTTGTGAATAATCGCACCAACTGTTGTCACCTTCTCACCCAGCTGCTTGGCGATGGTCTTGTAGCCCATTCCAGCCTTGTGTAGGTCCACAATCTTGTCCCTGACATCCTTGGAAAGCTCTTTGGTCTTGGCCATGGTGAAGAGTTTGGAATCTGGATTGATTGATTGCTTCTGTGGACAGGTCTCTTTTATACAGGTAACGAGCTGAGAGGGCTCCCAATGTCAGCTCGTTACCTGTATAAAATACACCTGGCAGCCAGAGATCTTGCTGACTGATAGGGGATCAAATACTTATTTCATTCATGAAAATGCAAATTAATTATAGAACTTTTTTTGTAATGCATTTTTCTGGATTTTTTTGTTATTGTTGTGTCTCTCACTGTTCAAATAAACCTACCATTGAAATTGTAGACTGATCATTTCTTTGTTAGTGGGCAAACTTATAAAATCAGCTGGGGTTCAAATAATTTTTTCCCTGACTGTAGAACAGCTCAAGGAAAAGTGTATTTGGTTTTAGCTTTTGCTAAGGCTAGGTACTGACCCGTTGACTGAGATGATACACGTAGCTGTCCAGCTTCTAGCCGGCAGAGCTCAGACTAGAGTACAGTTACTGTTTCTGTTCTGACTGGTTGTTAGAGCCAATATCTGTAAATTTTAACAGCTGTTTTAACTGAAACGTCATTTGTACAGCATTTAGTTCATACTGCAAAGCAAATGTGACCACATTTGTTACTGTTTTGCCACTGTGGGGCAGGTTAGTACTGTGGGGTTTTGTAAAACAGCCCTCAGTAGTTTGGGGGGACCTCTGTGGTTACAAGTGAGCCAACTGCCTTGTTCTCCCATTCTCTCTTAGCGAGTACCGACATGACATGTCTTGTATTACATCCACTCAGTGTCTAACAGGGTAGCTGCTACTACTAATACAAGTGGCCTTAGCACTTAACGGAAATATCCACATACATAGTCGCACACGGTCCACACTTGCACATCTAATAGCTCAAGTCTGACACTATCAGCGCATCGACTACAGCATTTCAGCAGCTTATAGGAGAATATTAAACAAGACTGTCCTGTTTGAGAAGGAAGTTAAACACCTAGAGACAAAAGGAATGTATTGGCAGCACATGGCAAACCCCTCTTCAGCATCGATCATACACCTGATCCTCTGTTTGAGGTCAGCTGTTTTCTTCCAGTTCCTAACAGTTTACAATAGGCTGAGTTAAATGTTTTGAACAATCTGGCCAATGTTTCTCAGCTGTCTGTGTTTATAGTGAGACAATAACTGTCCACCTCTGCCTATTAAAAAAGTCGGTCAGGAAGCTACATTGTTATATGAGCTCAGGATGGCACTGTTGTACAACTGACTGTTCACTGAGTGAGCAGGTGATGTGTGTGTGTGTGTGCGCTGTAGCAAGGGAGACTGAAATAGACACAACCTCATTTCCAGTTTTCTGGATGCAAGCAGTCAGTCCATCACTTAAGAGGTTGCAGGTCTAACGCTTTATCACCACCTGCTCGTACGCTCCGGCACCAACCCTGGGAGGACGAGAAAGGAAAAGGTGAGCTATCATAGGTGGTGACAGATGTGGATGGTACAGAGTATAGCTCACATAATGGCGCATGCAATTTCCTCTTGCTTAAAGCTACAATATACAGGTTTTCTAAATCAGGCTTGTGCTAGCATGAGTGCAAAGTAAACCACCCCACCCTTCTCTGTTACGTTCCACCCAGCCTTTCACCTTCACCTCTGTCCTGTAGCTGCCTCAGCTAATGCAGAAATATTGGCTCACTGGTCTGTGAGCCTTCCAGCAGATAATACTAGTTAATATAGGAGTGTATTGGATGCATGATAGACGTCTCAAAAATGCAGCTTCAATCTTGGTGCATAAAATGTGACTGAAAAATCTGAACCTGTCAAACTGTTGTTTTGGGCTGTGGCTATTTATTGCATATGCTCATCTAAAGAAAGTTGTAATCATCAGTTATGATCTAAACCTCCTGCAAAAGACCTGACTCACTGTCTGTCTCCACCAGGTCCATTTGAAAACATCAGTTGCTATCACTTCAGTTCAGTGAATATCTGCAGGCTCATGGAGCTCACCTGGTGGGAAGGTGATGGCTTCCAAGGGCTGTGCTTCCCCCAGGCCCGACAAACAGCCGCAGCCCTTCCTCTGAAACAGACAGTTTTAGTAACATTCAGTCAGTACAGAGAAGACCCACATCCTCTTGTATGATTCCTCATGAGCAGCAGCCAGTTGCTAGGCAATCTAAAAATAATTGTGTATTGACAGCAGTGTTCTTTTCCTATCTTTGAGCAGGAAGAGACCTTGGAAAGAAAAACAATACCCCACTGCTCTGAGCCGGCCAACACAATGCTGGCGGTTTCATTATTCTATTATCCAACTGCGCAGTAGCAACATGCACTTGTACTTCAGGGTAGGGCTGCAATTAATGATTTTTAATATCTATTTTTCTGTTTAACCATGGAGCTAAAATAATTGGTAAGTAGATCCATTGAATAGTTGATTGGGAGAATATTATTGAATATTTTTTGAATTTCGACTGTTGGTCAGACAAAACATGACTATTGTGTACATCACACTTAATGTTGCCGCTGTTAAAGGTGGGAGTTAGTTTTAATTAGCTTATATGAATTTAATTTGAATAACTGCTGGGTAGCTTGTGAATTTTCCATCACAGATCAATGAGGTCTTAATATTATACTGTATTTTTGTATTAATCTGGTTCTGAAAAGCAACTAAAGTTCAAACTCAGTTCAGTTGAAGTGGTACATGGAAATGGTACACTATTTGCTTCTCTCATTCTCGCCTTTCCCTCTCTGTTTCTCTGTCCCTCCACGCTCCCCCTCCCTGTGTTTTTCTCCATCTGTCTTTCTGCAGATGACACTGACCTGATCACCAATCATGGCAAACCTATTCAAATTGTGATGTGATAAACTGGAAAAACTTGAATTACTTCAATGCTTTTCATAACTGTTGCTGGTTAGTTTTCTGCTCATCGAAGACGACACAAAGACCTCCCTCTGTTTCTGTGTGTGTGTGTGTGTGTGTGTGTGTGTGTGTGTGTGTGTGTTTCACCTTCAGCACTGGAGTCCAGGAGACTGGGTGTGAAGTCTTGACTCTGGAGAATCTTTTCAACCACGTCGTCAGCATCCACCCTCGTGTCGTCCATTCGCTTTAGCTGAGACTCCATGGAGTCCTGTTTCACTGGATGTCTGAGGGGAGGATGCAGCAGAATCACTGTCTATAAAGCGTGGAGCCTGCTCCTATATTTCATTTAGTGCCAAGCACGTGTGGTCACCAAGGGTTCCACTTGCATTGCTGGAAATGAGGTCTGTTTTAGTAGCAGCCACACACTTGCTGTTAAGAGCAGCTCTCTGATCCGTTTTCTTGTGGCTTCATGTCGACTGTGGCTACTCTAGAGAACACTTGTGCCTCACTGTGTGTGAATGGCTCTCAGGGCCACAGGCATGAGTGATTTCATGGTTCTGCAGTGCAGGACAAAAATGTTTGAGGCAGGTTTTAGCTTTTGTGCCCAGTCTACCTGATGATCTGAGAGCAGCTGAAAGTAAATACTTATTTTTACCCTGCCTAGAGAATAATTAACTATTTTATTTATTGTATTCATGTTTTAAAATATCTTTGGTTCATTTTTTCCCCCTTAGTCTTTTCAATGTTTTCTATTTTTGTTCTTTTTAATTTACTGGTTTACGTTATTTTATATCTGTAAAGCACTTTGAAAAATGCATTGAGTTGTACAGAAATGTGCTATACACACATTTTAATTTACATTTTGGGAAATACTTATTTACTTTATTGCCAGGAGCTGGATGACAAAGTTGCTACTGTTCCTGTCTGTATGTAGCTATAGCCTCCAGCTGGTTAGCTTAGCTTAGCATAAAAACTGAAACAGTGGGAACCAATTAACCTGTCTAAGGTCAAAGGTCACAAATTTTGCATGCCACCATCTCTGATCTTCACTAATTAACAAGCATAAAACAGGCTATGGGCTGTACCTTAGCTCACACAGTGACATATTTAAATATACAAATTAATTTTCACACTAAAGTAAAACTTGCTTGAGAACTGACAAAATGCTTCACTGCATTTCAAAGAGGTGGTCTAAAATTATAAGTGTCTTATCAGATTCAGGGGTGATGGCTACAGTTTACTTCCCTAAAATAACTGCAACTTTATTGTATATTCAGTAGCTACAATAAGAGGTTTTGAATGTTTGACTTGCTGGCTGCTTTCTTTTCAATAAATAGTACTGTCAATGATTACGTCTGTATGTTACTTTGCATAAATTACATTTCCTCTTGCTCCCTTACTTACCAAACAACCTACAGGCTCACCTATTGAGGCGTTCACAGGATGAGGCATTCCGTACCGGTGTGCCCTGTGGGTTGCTAGTGGTGGCGGTGGGGAGTGGGTGTTCAGGCAGAGCAGGACAGGGTCTGGACTCTCGGTCCTCACTGGGCTCTGGGATGCTGCCAATGCCCGTTGAGGCGCTGCCCACTGAATGGTTTCTCCGGTGGCTGAACTCTGACATGCTCGAGGAACGGGAGTGACCTGTGCTGTAGCCTGAGAGAGGTGGCCAGTGAATTTATAACCATACAGCAGCAGTTCTTCAGTAATATGTTCTAGAGTTACCTTGCCATTTTTAGATTAAACTGATCCATCTTCTTTAAAAGCCAGTAAAAACTGACCTTTGACCAGCAGCCCTTTCTACTCTACTTCCACTAGGCTAATGCACCAATTTGTCAAAGTGACAAATCCTGCAAAGATGTACAGTATAGTAGAATAATGTTACACATTTATGTAGTAATGGCACCAGTGGTCCAATTTCCATTAAAACATAATGGAAAGTGATACATTGGATATTATATGCACATAAACATTCAATAATGGCTTTACTAATGGTAGATGCAGGAGACACTGACTGCCCAACAGAATTAAAATATTAATTCAGGAAGCAATCTGCAATTTTTATGAAGCATTATACACTACTGATTTTTCTGATAAAACCCATTTTGCTGTCCCATAAACCTGACTGGCAGCATGTTTAATGATTGAGCAGATCAGCAGAGTTGCAGCGACACCTGCACACTGTTGTTGTCTGCAGCAAACGCCACCTCAGACCATCAGTTCACCACAGCTATGGAAGAGCAAACTTCCCACACACTTGTACAAGGTTCAGATAAATCTATCAAGAGTTAATATGGCAGGAAATACATTATCAACTTCAGAATTAGAGGGTCATTAGAGCTCTCAGTGCATCTCTCTACATCTTCTAGTCTTTTATTACCGTCATCTGATCTGCCTGTTATGGAAACTCAAGCCGCAGGCTCTGGTGAAGCATCATTGGAAAATCATTTTATCACTTCCCTTCTCAGTCAAAAGCTGTATGCAGTTTGATTTTACATAGAAAAACTGATGACGGCTGCCCGTACCTGAGAGTTTGGACTGTTGGCTGGCGTAACTGGATGTTCGGGAGTGACCACAGCCGCCAAACTCTTCAGACACAACAGGACACCTCCCTTCTCGAGACTCTGCTGGATTAGAAAGAAGAAAAGACGGGATGACAAAGGTTTGAAAGCTTCAAAGAGCCTGTTCTGCAAACAAACACCATCACTACATGTACAGGTTTAAGTATAGATTAAATATCATATTTAATATCATATTACCATAGGATAAGAAGAAATTGTTAAGGAGATGTGAAGAGAAGCAATAAAAACACAACTGCTCTTAACTGACCAAATCTCCCATTTGAACTGAAAGATGAAGCAGCAGCGTTGTAAACACACACACACACACACACACACGATGCTGATGAGAAAGAGCCTGCAGCAGAGAAATACACTCATGGTGTATCCATGCAAACACACAAGCCCCTCAGACAGACTTGCACACAGGCCTATTTTTAATCATGTAAGAGCCTACAGGGCCAGAGCAGATTGTAACCGATCTAAAAGAGAAATGGTTTAAATTATACATGAAAGAGCTGCGGCACTAAAGCTTCAGCTGCAATATGTTCACACGAGCACATACAGAACGAGTGTGGGGGGGTTTGAAACGTGGCAGAAAGGGGCATCTGGAATAGAAAGTTTCACAACAGCTGAAGTGTATCATTATGTAAAGAGACGAGTGCACACAGGCACAAACATGAAGGATCTATCAAACATGGGTTATAAGACCAGTACCTGCAGCTTAACTACAGAAATTACCAATAGTGATCCAAGAGTTTACATGCGACAGAACACAACAGCACAAAGTGACACTTGATGTGTTGGAGGGCCAAGTCACCTACAGCCTTCCGTAAGTCAAATGGTACATCAACAAACAAATAGTGAAAAGGTGCAATAAAATTGATCTATGTCAGGCTTAATGTGGATATTAGCTGCTACACTTGGTGATAAACAAAGCTTTCCCTCTTGTAGCTTCCAGTCATTTAAGTGTATAAAACTTTTATTTAAGGCAGCAGCAGGCAGTGGTGTGACAAGGTAACGCAGAGGTTATGCTATAATTACTTTTGTAAATGCTGAACATTTATTTGGGAGATAAAGGCAGTGACTTTGTACATCTAACAAGGTGCTCTATTAGAAGGTACCAGTTATAACTTACACCCTCCCCTGATCTGAATGTAGATCTTCAGACTAGAAACTGACATTGCAATAACAGCAAGTGATGAACTAATGATGAGTGAACCTACTCATGCAGTGTAGATGCCAACTGTGCATAAGGGACTGAGCCAAAATGAATATCTGCTTCAGCATGGTAATACAATCCAAAATGATTAAAAAGAGAGAAAAAAAGATATTTTAGAAATGTATACATATATCATTTCTATGTAAATCTACACCACCATTTAACAGGAGCCTAATGCAGGAAAGACTGGATCGGAAAACAATACGACTGTTATTACATCTGTTAGGAACTCCCAAACTAACACTGGCTCAGCACAAAATGGCATGACTCAAGTGGCTTTTACCAGGTCCTGGTAAATAATTGGAAAGGCAAATGGCATGGCTAAGCAGAGCTGAGGAGGGTAACGGGTGAAACTGGCCTCACCAGAACAGCTTTTCTGAGAGTCTCCTCCCCTCCTCTCCTCCAGCAGGCTCTCTCCATCACCCTGGATTCCAATCACTGTGGCTGTGGAGGGAGGCCTGAGGACAGAGGGAAGACAGTGAGCCTTCATTTTTATCTTGCACTTCAATGGTCCAGTTATTTAAAAAGCAAAACACATTGATAAAAACAAACAAACAAAAAAAAAAAAAACAGGGAAATGGTGAGCAATGAGTAAAAATCTAGATGAATCAAGAGAAATATTGGTCAAATTATTAGCACTCAGAATAGCATTCAGGCTAAAGCTAAAAGTGAATATGCAGTACATTCTGAAATAAAAGAAGATACAGCTTTTGGCATTACCATGCAGGCTGCTGAGCAATTTTAGGCCAGTGAACTAGAAGGCCACCTTATACTGTAGATGAACTGTCTGTTACTGACATTTGCAAAGCTGTTGTTGATAAGCTGATAACAGTTACTTAGGGTTGCATAATGCTGTACTGTTTATTTCCCATGAAACTTTTCCAAGTCTGACAAAGACCAGATGTAAGTGCCACACCTTTTGCAGCATTATTAAATTCTTTTCCCAGTCCAATCAAATGTATATAGTCAAGAATGTCGAATGAATGAAAAATGTTACTTTAACTTACGTTTTAAAACAGGGGTCCCCTGACATGAGCTGTGTACTGATGATAACCTGTAAAACGAAGAAAAAAAACAACTTAAGATTCTTAAGTGAGACCAGACAAAGTCGCAGGCGAACTGCAGACCAAGTGATTCTGTACTTCCTGAATAACTCAAAATGTTAGACAAGTTTTTAGTTCAAGAGGGAATATTGAACTTTTTATTCTACTACATTTGACAGTTGTGTTTACTTGAAGCTTAAGTTCTTTCACGCAAAATGTGATGAGCTTATAGAATATGATGCACTGTTACAAAGTATCCCAGAAGTACTGCATATAAAGCAGTTAAAAATCTGTTCCATCTCAACTAACGAGCCTGTTGCACATACGTAAATGCATGCATCAATAATAATCCAATAACATAACAGCATAACATACACACGCAGGCCCTTTTTCTGCATTATGTGTACTTTTACTTTAGGTAATTTGTGTATAATACATACTCTGACCTTAATTACATTTTCATTGCAGGTTTTACTTGTAACAAAGTACTACAATACCGTAGTATTGCTACTTTGTTAGTTTTGCTCTTTTTAAAATAAGAGATTTGTCACACCTTAGGGACTGTTATAATTCTTCATGAAATGCAGCAGATGACGACAATTTCCACATCTGACACTGCTCTATTTATCTCTGACTACGAACTACTGGACCACCTGGGCATTTATACAAAAAGCTTTTCCCCACTGAGAAAAATATCACACTTTTATTCAAAACACTGTGGCAGAACTCAAAATGGAATGTTTTAGCACAGATCAGTGTTACCTTGAGAATGGAGTTATCCTGGCGAGTGTTTTTGGTATCATAGCCTTCCAGCAGACATCTGCGGGTTGTATTCCCTGAGCCGGCAAACTCTGCTAAATTCAGATCTGCAAATCCAAGCTGGAGGAGGAAGAATGACACAGGGTGAACTTGGTTTCCTCTCATGGGACTGATCTGTTGCCAGTCAGCACTGTGACAACCTCTGGGTGTAAAGTGACAGTTCTCAGGACATGAGGGAAGCTTCACAGAAATTCATGAGGACAAGTAAACAAAGGTTTATTTGTGTATCACTTTTAAAAACAAAAGTGCTTCATAATAAAACATGAGCAGGAAAAAAATGAATGGGAATAAAAAATACATTATCTACAATTATCTTGTGAATGTTTAAAGGGTGTGTTCAAAAAAAGCACAAAAGATTGTAGGTTAATTATTTGTGATTTATCATGCACATTGTGTTGGTCTATACTTGATGAAATCAGAACACATTATATGACTGTGATATTTACAGCAGAAAACCTGGTAATTCCTATGCCAGTGTACTAAAGATATATTCAAACAAAAAATGCTGTGGCCTAAGAGGCCTAGCATGTAGATTAGAAATAAAAAAGGGCCAAAGACAGAGCCTTGTGGCTCTCAGCTCAAACCAGCAGCAGCAGACATATCATCGCTAACCATTACAGAAAATTGTTCATTAAATAAGATGCAAACCAGTTAGGACAACCCAGTCTACAGTGTCAAAAGCTGAGCTGAGATCCAGTTAAACTAGAAATTTTCAGCAATTTCAGTATTTAGGTGAAAACATTTTATGTAGTCTATGAAGTCCACAAGAAGTATTTTAAGAGCCTCAGGAAATAATGACTTTCAAAACAGTGAAAGCAGGAACAGTCCATAATGAGCCAATCTGCAGGCAGCGAATGCCATCTGTTTTCTATGGACTCACAAGACTATATATACACATCAATATATCTGTAAATCTAGGTGACGTGCAGGCTGGGTTAGTGAATGGTAGTTAGGTAACAGAAGTATGTGAAGAATTACCTTTGCATATGCCTTCCCACCCCTCAGCTCCTGGAGAAGAGAAGCATAAACATTTAGATTATAATGTGACACACAAAGTTTCAAATTCTCATGTCTGAAACCTTAAAAATGATTAGGTAAAAAAAAAAAAGATGGCATTAGTGAACACTATCTGCCTGCGAAATGTCCCTGAGATTTAACCGTTTCAAAATAACTGGAGGGAATAAGACAGTTAGTTAATGTTTTGGCTCTGTACAGATCAGAGTGATGAGATTACTCCTGGTAAATGCCATTCGTCCTTTTACAAGTTAAGCTATAATAATAATAAAATACAACAAATATTCTACATGTCATCAGCAGAAACATTCCATCAATGTAACACTAATATATAAAAGATTTTGGATGCTGCTTGTTCCAAAGGAAAGTGGGAGGCAGCGGCTTGAAAGCTTTTAATCTCAATGTCAAAATAGTGATAAAGGGAGCTGCCAGTGAAGGATCCTTGATATGCTTGGTCGCCTATAACAAAGAGGGCAGGCCATGCTAGAAATAGCCTAAAGATACAATGTGGATTTAGAGGACACATTTCACTAGCAAGGTATATTCATCTTTATTTTATCTATTACATCCTTAAAAACTATGTGTCATGACATAATTAAACTACAGTGAGTACACTAAAGGTTAAAGGACAGCAAAAGGACGAGAGACAAGAGATTTCACATTGATGAGTCTACTTTCTTCAGAATGCTGTGCTTGCTACCTCCTGTTTAACATCGACATTTCACTCTCAACTTTTCATTTTCCATATAAAACTATCAGGATTTATTCCAGTTAAAGATCTTGTGAGAGACACTCCTTTTATGTTCACACTGACAAGATCAGTACCCTTCATTTTTGCACAAAACCCCCACCTGGTGCATCCATTGACTGTATAAAAGATGGACAAGGTGACAACTACCAGAAGTGAAGCCACTGCAAAACAAGTGCCCCCAGTGGCTGGTTGCAATATAGATCATAAACCCCAACCCCTCCATGCTGGTAGATGGGACATGAGCCAAACTAATCTAAGAATCAAATACATTTTTTCCAGAGGTGATTTCTGTTGTTTTGGTGGATATTATCACATTGAGGTGTGTACAAGTGGTCATTTTTCTGGTAAAGTTGTTTTTAATAAATTGATGATATAAAACCACGCATATTTCAGATGATACAGTATATCACTCAATTACTCTGTTACTACTGCAAAATGCCAAGATGGCAGCCACCATATTCACAATATTTTGGCTTCACTTTTGCATAGTGGAGGGAACGCGTCATCCATCTTTATATACAGTCTATGGGTACATCTTTAAGCTGATAACATTTGTTCACATGCAAAGCAGTAGATTATGGGCCAACAGCCTTCAATGTATCTAAATCTGGTATCATAATGGGACTCCACAGACACATAATGTACCTTTCTGACAGATACACGACACACACAGGGGTCCAGTACACCTGTTCCTGCACTGGCACTCATCTTACAGGGAAAAGAGAACCGCTTCCTCCATCGAACACAGTTGGCCTGCACTGCCTCCCTGTAAGAGAGGACACAAAGACTTGTTAAAGCCAGATACCATACACTTGTTGAACACAGACTGCATACCGTGAGCTCGACAACTCCGATAGGTCGGATAAAGGCTGTGCCAGTGTTGGTGAAAATACTGAAACGAATAGTGGCAGAGTAGCTCTTTTTTATGTAGCTCCATCATTACAGACTGTCACTGTACAACTGAAAAACTGGTGCATTGTCTTTTGCAGCTTGGAAAACTTCCATTGTAACCCCTGATTAACTGTTTGGCTCAGAACCAGAGCCACAAGGCACCAAATACTGCACATGGGCAATAATGTTTACTATAATGAAACACTTGAACATCAGCCCTTGATGTCTGTTGCAGTTGAGTCTGTATCAAAAGCTGCATCATGCACCTGATTAGTTCAAGTCTAATTCTTTGAACAGTCTCTGCTTCTTTTGGAAAATGCAAAAATGATTTTGGAATAAAAATGTCTATATTCTCAAAAGCAAGTTATTACAAATGTTTTGTATTGGTACTAAAAAAAAAAGAAAGGTATTGATGGAAACACTTCACAACCGAACACTGTGTTCAGAAAACAGTGCACTTTATTGTGGATTCTTCGAACCAGTACCATCGTCTTCCTGCATTGTCTCTTGTGTTAACAGCCCTAATCACACCCAAAACTGTGGGAGCACAATTTCATTTTACCAAATCACAATTAACTGTCAATGAAAACCACTTAGGTTCAGTGACTACTGAATCAACAATCCTCACCTCTCTCCACAACTTAAGGCTACTGATTCAATATGAGCTTGTGGGTTTATTGTCAAATTTTCTAGCTGCAGAATAAATGAGCTAAGTAATTATAGGACTGTTCACGTGATGATTCATTTAACTCCTGAGGTTATGGTGGCAGATATGTGGCTTGTATTGACAGAAAAACACATCCTCCTCCACATTAAAATGACAGAGATGCAAGCAGTTCTCACTGAAAGGGTGAGATGAAGTGAAACGCGAAGGCTGTGTGTGTGTGTGTGTGTGTGTGTGTATTATGATACTCCAGATGGCGTCTTTCACTGGCATCTTCTCCTCTCCCACTCACCTAACCAACTCCCTTCTGTCAGTGCATTCATTTTGATCAACTTTTCTGTTTTAAGTGCCAGCAGAGCGGATGGTTTTCCTCTATAATGCAGAGGAAAACTGCATTTTCAGTGCATCTGAAAATGATGCACTAAGTAAAAGAATCTGGCAATAGTGACAAAAAGACCGAGCAACATTTAACAGAATGTTGGGATTACTGCTGAGACGGTTAAGGTGGACACAATTGACTGTATGTATAGGCCTGTGCTGCACAGCATATCCCTTCCTCACAAATAAATAAAAAGAAGCAGATGTGTGGCCAATGTTTTGCAAACGGCGACTTCATCCTGAAGTTGACACATTTCAGAGAGAGCGCGCCCAGCCAGCTGGACACTGTGTGCTTTGGGAATTCTGTCTTGAATAAATACATAAAGTATACTGTTGCTTGCAGCATTTCTTAGTGCAACAAAATCTTTGGGGAGTTTGAGTACATCTGGTTTTAAGCACAAGCGGAGGTCGTCTCGCTCATGTCTCTGCATGTGTCAGGTATCTTGTTAAACTACAGCTACACTCTTTTAAAGGCGGCTGTGATCAGACCGCACACTCTCAGAAAACACCGACATGAATGTGATGCAGGGCCATCATCTGCTTAGCAGCAATGAAAGATTTGCCCATAAAATGTTAGATATTCAAAGAAATAAACTTGTATAGCTAGAACATTTTGTTTTAGGCTGAAATAATAATGTAGTACTGATGATAAGGTACAACAAAGGAAAGAAAGGCTCATAAAACAACAATCCCCACTTCCTTTAAACTCACAGATGGGATGACAGTGTCAGCGGGAATCTAGTTTGTGTGTTTAACAACTCAAACTGCTGCAAAACAATGCAACTGAATATCTGTGGAACTAGTGACCAGTGATCTTTTTCCTGAGTAAAATCTATAGGCTAAGACATCAGACAGATGAAGTATAAACACTACACAGGCAGAGCAGGACATTTTAATTAGAGCCAGAACTTCACTGATTTGGTTGTGGGATTCAAAGAACATCTTAGTTTCTTGATTTAATTTAGCTGCAGCGTTTGCTCACATGTGGAAAAAATATACAAAGAAACTGCAGCTATATTAAAATGGCCCTAATGTCATGACCTTAAAAGCTTTCAGATTGAGTCCACTGGACCATATCAAGAGCTACTTACCACAGAGCAAACAGAAGGCTTCTTATATAATCAGGGGCATCTAATCTCTACAGCCTCCCTCTAAAACAATGGTTTTCCCTTTGTCCAATGTTAGACGGCAATCTAATTTATAAGTGAATTTTTATGTTGTTTTTCAAACCAAAAGGCCAAACACAACCCCTTTTGAGTGTCTCAATTGTGATTCTAACTTTACACAATCAACTATACCTATTACATCACCAGAGAAGCAAAACATGACTTTCTAGAAAGTCTTATTAAAATCTGGAAAAGCCATGAAATATCATGGTAAAAGACTAACAATAAATGTTTGTTTAAACAGCTTAATCAGATATGAGATCATAAAGAAAACTGTAATAGACATGTATGAATTAGTCAGAATATCAGGAACATCTCTGAATATAATGTAGTCCAGTACAGTACAGTACAGCCTTTAACTGTGACCTCGATAATAAACATAGTTGACATTTGACAATTTCACCAAAATATTTTGAGCTTCATAAGCACAGAACTGAACTGCATACAACGAAACAGGTGTACCCAATAAAGTGGCCAGAGTGTATATAGAAAATATGTCATTGTATTCAGGTAGGTAGGTACTTTATTGAACTTTATTCAACAATGAAGGAAAACACTGTCCTAACGCATATGCATATTTTAGGGGTTTACAACTATACACTGTCTTGACTGACTTGCAGCTGCACTTAGGAATTAGTTGGTATAACCTGATCATTTATAACCAATAACAGGTTGCAGTGAGACACCATTCACCTACTTCAGTGATAATCTTAGGACAAAACATGGGCCAGAGGCAGCCCAGGACATTATTGACACTTTTGATTTAGCAGCAACAGCTAAAGGAGTCACATTTGGTTTTGTGGCATTTATATGACAAGTCATAGCACAATGATCAATCCCACAACCCAGAAGTCAGTCTGAGAAATGCAACCAGATGTCGCCTTGAACATGAAGGAAATGTCAACTAATCGATGGATATTTCAGAGCACGAACTGTGACAAATGCCAATGTTTACATTCCCCGTCGATACTAACATACAGTTTACAGTTACTAGTTAACTAATCGGAATCAACAATCAACAGACGTTAGCTGGTTTCTAACATTAATCCTGCATCTTACTAGCTAGTTAGCTATTAACGTAGCTTAATAGGCTACAACTACCGAGACAATTTAACCTAAGAGCAAAGGATAGCAGGTGCCGTCGGTGTTTTTGTGACCGTCCTCACCGAGAAGACTCCTCAGAGAAGCCGCCGTCCAACAGCCTGACTTTACAAAAGAGGACCCCGTTGACGAAGGGGACTGACGAGAGCTCTTCCAGCTCAAAATCCACCTTGAACTTGAATTTCTTCTTTTTCATCATCATTAAATCCATACACAAAATCTGTATTACTGTTAAGATGCTCCAGTCTCGACCGTCGCACACTTTACAGCCCCATTGTGCACTAGTACAGATGCAGCTTTCTGTTTGTTGAGTGGCCAGAAGACGGTGAAGCTGCTGCTTGTAAAACAGTCACATTTACTGAAGCGACAAAGTAGAACGACTTCCTGTCGTCAATTTTCAAAACAAAGGTATATATTATTCTATATGTTATAGTTTAGAGTAAGTATCATATGGAAAAGGTGTATGAGGCATTACAGAATATACGTATTCTATATACGTGTTTCATTACATTTTACTCAGTGCGTGCAAGTGCGCGAAGACGTCTAGACACCACTGTGGTGTTGCCTGTGCTTTTATTTTGATGTATGCGTTGATTTAACGGATGTACAATGACGGCGGCTGTTAATTTGATGGCTATCAAATTAAGCCCACCTCCTCCCTCTTTCGCCCCCTGGCGGTCAGTCTGGCAACAACAACCCTGATTACAAGAAACGTGAAATCAGCTGCTGTTACATGACATTTGTCGCCACCTTGCGGTACAACGTATACACTGCACTACACTTACAAAATGACCAACTACATTGTTTTTATTACAAACAAATCGATCGCGTCATTTATCTGCCATTTTTTGCACACTAACAAATATTTTAAGAAAGCATTACCCAACATTGTTTTTAAACTGACAACATACACCCTTTGGAGTCAAATAGATCAAAATATGCACAATTTAGTAGGCTATATAAAAAGTTAAAAATATGCGTAGGTCACGTGAATAATTTCATAAAATTATCAAAATTTTATTCCAGCATTTGGTATCTAGCCTATGCCTTGTGCAGACCAGCTGTCAGATTCCTGTGGGTATGACTCATTTAAAACAGATTACTAAAATAAAGCTCGTACCATGGTGCCCAGGGATTTTAGGCTACTGCATTGTGTAGCTATAACAGACATAGTCAGTTTGCGGTTGTGGGTATTACCACAGCACAACAAGTTTAGAAAGGCAGAAAGTAAAAGCTTGATATTACAGAGAACTACTTCAATTAAAGCAGCTAGACATCTCACCTGTGTATGCACTCATGAATGTGCCTCATATCGTATTGCAGTGTTGGTGTTGTAGGGTGTGTCTGTAATGTGTGTGCGCGCAGCCAGAGGACTTCCCAGGCAAACGAGCTTCTTCACTCGTTCGCTCAGCGCTGCTAACCGACCTCATCAACAAACTGCTTTCTGCAAAACTACATGATTATTTACCGGATTATACACTGCACCCACTGATGGACTTTGCTACGAGTTCTTTTTCAGGCAGCACTTTGAAAATCTCGTTGCAATCGTACAGGACCACCCAGCTGCCTGAAACCAGAAGTACCAGCCCCAGAAATCGTTCTCCCTGTGCGTGGGTGTTTCTGCAGCCGTTTAATTGTGCGTCTGTGTGAAGCTCTACAGGCCCGGAGTTTTCACTCTCAGCGTAACCATGTATCAAGTCGTAAGGAAGCTGTTTTTTACGGACTGTCACTGCGCAGGCAGTGTGTCAAAGACATACGACGAGCTGTTCGCCAAGCTGGATACCAACAAGGATGGGAAAGTGGACGTGTCCGAGTTGAAGGCAGGGCTAGCTGCTATGGGCATCAAAGCCGAGAAAGGAGCTGCTGAGGTAGAGCCAAGAGCAAACAAACTGGCCTCGTAGAGAGGGCAAAACTGTCACAAATACTACTTATTGTAGTACTACATCCCTGAAGGATCTGGGCAGGCTGCAGCCACTCAGCATTACCCCTTACTTACCCTGACATAGGCCTAGTAGAAGTCTAAACGACAGCCCTTAGAGGGAGTAACTTACTCTTAAGTACTGTTGCATTATTTAATTGACTTCATGGCTGCATCGATTTTTTATTTACACTGTTGATTATGTTTTAAGTTAATTATTTATCTATAAAATGTCATGACATAGTGAGACACACCACAGTTTCCCAGAGGCTAAGGTGATGTTTGCATATTGTTTTTTTTTTTGTCTTGCAGCCACTAAGTATTTAACACATTTGCTTAATAAATGACCGGTCAAAGTGGTGATCACTTCATCCACTAGCTTCAGTATTACTTCACTTGACTGTGCACTGTACTTTGCACTACTTTTATATCACAGTAATAGTTCCAAATATTTAGTTCTCCATGCTGTAAACCCTAACCCTGAGGTCCCAGAGTTCTTTTATGGTTTTGGAAACACTGATAGGAAAACTGTCTCATCACAAAGTCTATTTAGAAGCAATACTGGGTCTTTTAATTGTATTGATTTATATAGCAGTTTTTATACATGTTGGTGCAATCAAAGTGATTTACAGATGAGCGACAAGCTGATGACCAGACAGATCCAATGTAAACAGGAAAATATGAGACTAATGCAAACTGGAAATAAAAAGGGTAAACTAATGATAAAACCAAAAGTCATTTAAAATGATTTAATAATAATAGTGACAAGGCTCTGACTGAGCGGGCAGATGGCAGATCTGCTCCAGCGTGTCTGCCCAGTGACGACACAGGGCGGCTTCCTGGTGTGTAACTGGGAGTGTAGAGCATTCTTGTCCTGCCAGGTTAAATTTAGGGAAATATATTTCCTCCTCCATTAATAGGCTTAATCTTAAACTTAAACCCAACCCAAGTCACAGCAATCCCTTTGATGAAATAACAAGTGCTAGAAAATGTTGTGAAGTCTAATATTAAGACAAGGGAGGGAGTTCAATATTTCATGCATAGCTTTTGTCTTTTTTTTCTTGAGCTCAAACTTCAGCTTGTCTCAGTCCTTATGTCTTCTTTCCGATTTTTCCTGTAACAGTATCAAATCACCTGCAGCATACACACAGTATTTTCAAATAATCCAGAATAGAAAAGTAGGTAAATGCAGGCTGGAGCAGTATGATTGAAAAATTCTGGAGCACATTCTCTTCAAAGTGTCTCAAAATCCAGGTGAGCTTCTTATCGTGGGCTGCGCCTTTTGAGGCCGGTCCCACCTTTACTAAGCAAATAATCTTGCATTCCTCATGCTCATCAGTGAGTCTGATCATTTTGAAGAAATGAGTCAGGAAAGAATGAGAGGAGAGTTCACTGCTGTGTGTGACCAGGTGCTATAAAACCAGCGCTTTCCCTGTCCGTGCAATTACATGATAACAATATGATAAACGGGTAATAAACATGCACACTGACTGCCTCTCGAGAGCCTTTCAGTCAGCAGTGCCCTTATTCATCACACTAATTTATCTCCTGACATTTAACAAAGACTAATTCATTAAAACTGGCATCCTATTTAGTCCATTGTCTTCATTCTGTGTGCACTGCACCTGCCCCCATCTTGGATCACCTATTAACATTTGAATCTGCTTATTAGCAACGCAGGGCTTTAGATTTCAGCTGATGTCTTGAGGAACTTTGCACATTTTTGTGCAAACATTACATACAGTACCTACAGCACAGCAACACAACTGAATTCAGTCCTCTCTTGATCTGGGACAGCTCTTCCAGAACTTTACAAACCAATGAAAAGTACAAAGCAGAAAAAGAAAAACAGCATAAACTACAGTATGTGAGGGAAAGATAATGACAGATAACTGGGCCAAGTACAGCACTGTACACAGGAAGTGAGTTCAGTCAAAGTGATGGCACATTACCGTGCCACCAACTGGCAGAATCAAGCAGCTGCCATTAGAGGAGATGGCAGATATACCTCAGGTCACAGCAAAGCGTAAACCTCTCCCTGAACTCCTCAAGGTCAGACATCTGCGATGATTTCTGGTAGACAACAGAAACTCTAAGACACCGGCTCTGATGCTATTCTGTATTTTCCTCAGAAAATCATTTCCTCTGGAGACGAAAACCGAGATGAAGGGCTTGACTTCAGTGAGTTTGCCAAGTACCTCAAGGATCATGAGAAGAAACTACTGCTGACCTTCAAGAGCTTGGACAGAAACAATGATGGTATGGTATAATTTTATTACCCAGCATTGCTTTATGTTTATGGCTCTAACCATGGTTCAAATAGTATAAGAATCCATGTTGAATATTTACCTGAAAATTAAAACGAAATGGTGGGAATTTGATACTATCTACCATATCGGTGTTAGGGAATTTATCTTTCCTCAGCATGTGTAAAAAGTCAGGACTTCTGTGTTTTTATTTTAAACAGGCCGAATAGACTTCAAGGAAATTCAACAGTCGCTTGCTGAGCTGGGGCTGGAAGTCTCCAGAGAGGCCGCAGAGAAGATCCTTCAAAGGTGTTTCTGCTTATTTTGCAGCTGCTCATAAATTAGGTCTCTTTCCTACTCTACCACCAAATTGTGAGTAAAATTTGACAAGACTCAGTAAAAAGGTTTTGTCGTTCGTGAACCGCAACAAAAACCTAAGCTAAAAGTGGAAAAAAGCAGTTAAATGTTGAAGGTGGGGACCAGTGTGAGGGACTGATAACCAGTTCGGTGCAGCTGGAAAGTGGGCTGATGGTGCATGATAGAGCTGACGAGATGACTGCCAGCGTGTCATAAGACCATTAACGGGAGAGAGATTTCTCCTACGTTTAACTAATAATTGACAGTTAAAGACTGTAGTTACTGTACGAGCATTACACATTTTTGCTTCACTGATTTGGCTCTAAATGATAATTGGGCTACAACCTATTTCTAATAATACATTTTATCATCATTAGACATTAACAAACACTGGGATACTACAACATGTGTCTTACTAGATAATTATTAAGAATGCTGGATTGCATCAGTAACCTGTTTTGTCACTTGTAGAGGAAGTTGAGTGATCTACATGTGTGTGTGAAGTGTGTGCATGTGTTAATTTGGCAAGAAACCCAGATGTACAAGCAGGTGACAGTGATATTAAGTAAAGAGTGACAATGTTGAGTAGTATTGGAAATGTTTTACCACAACTTGAGAAATAAGCCCCTAGAGTTCACTGTAGGACTCGTTTAAGTGTTATTCTCTGTGTCACATGAACATATGTTAAACTGAGTTGGGTCCTGTTCAAAACTTCATCTACATAGATTGTTGCTTTGCAAGTCGATCCAGGTTCATGCAAGGAGCTGAACAGTAAAGTTGTTTATGTGAATAAACAAAATGCATGTAGGAGCACATGGCGGTGAGACCCAGAGGAAGTAGTAAAGCAGGATGCACATGACTGTGAATCACAGAGAGGTATTTGTGACCACTGCAGAGAGTGAGGGGCGAGTGTTTCACTCAGCCGAACTGACTCAGAGAGAGGAAGTAAAAGATGTGCACTGGGGGCAGATGAGGACACACGGATTGTAGAAGAGGCCAAAGGATAAATAGAGAGCTGCATGATGCCACTCATTATCTACTGTATTTATTTTTATAATTGTTTAAAATGTAGAAAAATAAGCTCAGAAATACACAAGCCATGCCTTGTACACTACATTTTTCTGAAACGAGACTATGTAAAACTTTTTCACTGTTCTAAAGTAAAGTAGTATACATCATTTACATCAATAATTGGACCCGGTTAGCAGAGTCTTAAATGAGCCACGAATTTAGATTTAAACAAATTTTAAGACTGACAGTTTTCTGTCCATTCTTTCTTTGCAGTATCGATGTGGACGACACCATGACTGTGGACTGGAATGAGTGGAGGGAGCACTTCCTGTTTAACCCAGCCACCGACCTGCAGGAGATTATTCGCTACTGGAAGCACGACTCGGTAACTATACTGTGTCTGTATGTTAGTGTTAATATTTTAATGCTGAACTTATTTGCTGTTAGATAAACTAACAAAACATTCAGATCCTCCTGTTTTAACCAAATCTTGAAATGTAGATCATTTGCTATATGGAACTATATGGAACTACATGTACACTACCAGACACACAGCCAGTTCCAGTCAATGGCTAATCTCTGACGCTTGTTGTCTGTTTACATACACAGTCTCAGAGCGTAAATAAACCTGTAGAAGCTAACCATGGTGGAGGTCAGCTAGTTTCAGTCTGACCTGCAGAGGGATTAGCTTGTCAGTGGGATTAGGACAGGGACAGGTCAAGGAGAGAGGAACAGGATAGGATTAAGAGGCACTGGTGAGAGTGAAGCAGTGGTTACCAACATCAACTTTCCACCACCTCCAGCATTCATGCCGATGGTTGGTGGCCACTCGGTACTCAGCACTTTTCAGCACAAACTGCACTGGATCTGCAGATCTTCAACATCTATCTGAGCACTTTAGCCCGATCTCACTGCAGGGGGCTTGTACGGCGCTGGGACTATATTGAACTGGATCAGCTTTGTTTCAAGGGTTTGAGATTTCCATGGCTCTGCTGGAGCCTCAGCAGCAGCAACAGGAAAACTGGTTTTCCCTTGATTTCGAAGATGATGGGGGGATGTATGGACATGGTAGGTTCTTTTTCTACAGTCCCCGGTTAGTTTGTCACATGGTTATGAATCTAGAATAGCGTTTGAATGCCCCACTAGTTAACTGGAATAGTTATATACACTGAACACGCACCCCTTTTGCGTTTGCCCCCATTTTTCATGAGCTGAACTCAAAGATCTACGACTTGTTCTATGTACACAAAAGGCCTATTTCTCTCAAATATTTTCACAAATCTAAATCTATGTTAGTGAGCACTTGTCCTTTGCTGAGATAATCCATCCACCTCACAGGTGTGGCATATCAAGATGCTGATTAGACAGCATGATTATTGCACAGGTGTGCCTTAGGCCACTCTAAAATGTGCAGTTTTACTGTATTTT